CAAAATTGGTAAAACTTATCTGATTACGTAAGTACGTACATGTACTCCCTCGCATTCACATGCTCAGTTTAGTCAAATTCTGGTTTTAACAGCAACCCAAACTTGAATGATTTGCGATTTCAAATAGCAATTTAATCTTATTTCCTAAATACGTATAAATCTTTATCATCTAATTATACTATATCTTTTTCCAAAACGTTGCCGATATAGTTAACCATGATATCTGATACAACGATTTATGAAAGTTTTCACCCGGATGAAAAGTATACAACTCGAATTAAAAATATTTTGACTGAATACCCATATGGATCTCAAATCCTTAGAGAAATTTTACAAAATTCTGATGACGCAAAAAGCTCTGTTCAAATTTTTATTTTGAACCATAAAACCTATCCATCTGAAAAGTTGTGTGATCCAAAACTTGAAAGATATCAAGGTCCTGCACTTTTATCCGCAAATGATACTATTTTTTTCAACAAGAAGACTTTAAATCTTTGGTTAATTTGGCGAATAGTATGAAAATAGACAAGTATGATAAAATAGGAGGTAAATTATTACTATATTTTTCATAAAAAATTATTAGAGGATAGAGGAAATAAATATAATATTTGAATTTTTAGTTATGGGTATCGGGTTCAACTCGATTTTCCATGTCTCAGATGTGAGCTCAATAATTTCTGGATCTTCCTATGTTCTTATTGACCCTCATGAGCGTCAATATTGTAATGTGAAACCTGGTCAAAGAGGTTTCAAAGCTGACTTTTTAGAACACGACATATTAAATGAAGTAAAAATAATTGTTAATTGCGTTTCATAATTATTTAATAATTTATATTAATTACATTCTATTCATTAGCATCCTGATCAATTCGACCCTTTTTTAATTGAGTTCATAAAATCGGAATTGATTAAAAAGGTAAACATAATGTTTTTATTTATCTAAGCATTTGAATTCAATTTGTTTTATCTGCAATTATTGGATCTAAGTAAATTTATCAGAAAAATTTTGAAATTTTGGAGACTATTTTAATGTGTTATAAGTTTGTGAATTGGGACGATTTATTATGATTTTGTATTGGATTTTGGTGTAACTTGTAGTTGTGTTAAATTGAAATTGATGTTGGATATAATGAACTGGATATTAATGCGAAATATAATTATTCGGATCTTGATTAAATTCCTTATCGTTATTAGACATCAATTACATAATTGTCTGAGCATGTGAATGCGAGGGAGTACATGTACGTACTTACGTAATCAGATAAGTTTTACCAATTTTGGTACTGTTGCTAATTACGTATTTTGACCACATCCATTTTCCCGATTAAGCTGAGAATTTATATTGTTGGGATGGCGGATTGCGGGTGATCATGAGATTTAGACTATGTATTATCTGTTATATTGATATCGATGTATATAGTATGTTTTATTACTGTATTAAAATATATAGTTGATACAAATTTATCGACTAGACTAAGGCCATAGTATGTTTTATTAAAATATATAGTTGATACAAATTTATCGGGATTGTGCTTGTCGAGATTTTGACCGGCACACCCTACGCCAGATATACTAGTATTTGTAGTCGATCATTATTTATCTATTTGACTAAGTCGATATTTAAAACTCAGCTTTGGCAGCTAAGAAGTCATCATCTTTAACTTTTGGAAATTATCAGATATTTTTCTCAAAATTTGTCTCGTATTTTATGTTCGTTGAATTTTTTTTCTGAATTTTTCGGGAAGGAAAATGTAAACTACCAAATCGGCTTAAACTTGATTGGTTACTGTAATTTTAATATACAGTAGTCTAAAATAAAATTGACTAACCCGATTTTTTTGAAGAATTGGCTGAACTAAGCCTGCTAAGCCGATAAAATCTGCTAATGCAAAATCGACTACAAACACTATATAAAAAAAATAAATAAAATACTTACAGTAAGTATTGTATTTTTTTTTTGTATTTATTATACATATTTTAATAAAACATACTATATAAGTATTGTATTTTTTTTTTGTATTTATTATACATATTTTAATAAAACATATTATAAACATTGATAACAATATCTAAAACTCGTGATCACCCATCACCCGCCATCCCGACAATAAATTCTTATGGTGGTCCACAAATTTTGAATTTAACTGTAAATACCCAAAGGTTTCCTGCAGGCTTTAAATTTCATGAAATTTAAAGCTAAAAATCTTTTTACAAACTTGTTGAAAAATCGAGGCGGAAATTGTCTTACGTAGATGGAAATCACCGTAAGTGATTCAAAAAATTAAGCTATGCGATTAGATCATCCAATGACATGATACACAAGCCATTGCTTAGCAATTTTATAAACATGACAGGCACAACTCTACCTCCAAAAGCATCTTGAATTATATTTGATTCTTGCAGAAATGGATAGGATGGGATTCTCTTTGGCGTATATGCTACTTACAACAGCAACTGCCATAGTTGTCTCCCATACAATTTCCTGCAAAAGCACATAAACTTTTTGCAAATGAAAAATGAAGAGTTGAAAGATTCTTCGTCCATGTTGTTATGATCTTGAACTAACGGTTCTAATTACTGGTGACATTAAAAGAGGTACATATTTCGATCTCCAAAAGAGAAGAGTTAAGAAGAAGAATTCGTCCATTGTTATAACCCGGATTTAACAGTTCTAATTACTGGTGACATTAAAAGAGTGACATATTTCGATCTCCAAAGGAGAAGAGTTAAGAAGAAGAATTCGTCCGTGTTGTTATGATCCTGAACTAACAGTTTTAATTACTGGTGACATTAAAAGAGTTACATATTTCGATCTCCAAAAGAAAAGAGGAATTCGTCCATGTTGTAATAACCCAGAATTTTTGGTTCTGGTTTTCTGGTGACATCAAAAGTATAGTTATGAAACTGTGAAAACATGGCTTCGCGTTATTCTGTTTATAGTTGTTTACATGTTAAAAAAAAACCCCAGTGATCAGTTTATTAATATGTAATTATTGATGAGATGCAAAGAACATCAGAACCGCAATCAGAAAGACATTGTCTCATAAGGAGGATCAAGATTGTCGAAAGGGAATAACGTGTCAAGTGAGAGAGGTGGTTATAATAATTTCCTTTAAGTTTATTTGAGTCGATAAGTACTGTATATATGTGGTACTGTATGTCAGAATAGAATTACTGTAGATCTAGAATCTATTTAAGGTGATTTCAAATAAACATATGTTTTAATAGAATTCCAAATTGTACTCGAGTTGTTAAAGAATTCAAATTCAACTTACAATAAAATTAAATTGAATATATTTGGAACTTAAGTCACCTTAAGATTTACTCATAACGTAAATTAATCAAACATTAATTCCTTTTTTCTATTTACAATAATTTTTAACACGCTAATTTTTGTATTTGACATTGCTTACTTGCGTAGAGGATTACTTATCGAATGATTATGAGTGTTGAAAGATACAAACCAATTTAGAGGTATTAGATGAATCCGGATTTATATTCGGATTTATCCGAATTTTAAATAAATCCGAATTTAATTTTTTGAAGTGAATATATCCAGATCTTAATAATATATATTGTACTTCTTAGCATCTTCTTGAAATTATAACTTCAAGCATTTGAAGTTGAATCGCTTAAAATTATTACCCAAATGCATGCTATTTCAGAACAACAGAAGTTAATTTTAGTTGATGCAACTCCAAGCACCCGAAGTTACAACTTTAAGCAGATGCTAACTTCAAGCACGATATGCTGCAATATTCGTAAATTATACCCAGATTATAAATAGTATCCGAATTAATTCGGATATATTTACAGTATATCCGGATTCAAATGGGATAAGAGCAGTCTTTCGATATATTTCCGTAGAAACTAAACACACCAAACATATTGGATAAGCATTCGAACGAAATCCTAATAATGTTGACACTGTCGTTATAATGATTCCGTAAAACAATCATTATGATACTAAAATAGCTTTTATTATACAAATTATGCCGAGATCACACCGAATCTGCCGAAAAATTATTCGGCAAATTTTTATCAGGTGTTCAAGATCATGTACGTACGTACGTACAGTCAAACCCATCTATAGTCACACCATTTGAATACAAAAAACCGTGATTATAAAGAGGTGTGACTAATATAGAGTTATTTTCTATATAGTTATAAATAACTGGTAAAAATAAAATTGTAATTATATTAATTTTGTGACTATAGAGGGGTTGACTGTATAGCAAATGCATTTTTCCCAATAGCTTTTTATTCTCATTTTCAGTGTTGTTGAATCTTGTAATAACTTAATACAAAACCAAAGTCTCCACGTGTAATAAAAGTTTTATATCACCTATTAGCTGATTTGCTGCTAAGATATTTGGAAAGCGATTCACTAAATGCGTTATGGGTAGCCTTGAGATTCGATCATCGGACAAAAAGAATTGTAAATAATATAAAAAGATAGCATAATAAAAATTTGTATTTAAATGTTTTTACAATAATTATAATAATAGAATACAATTTACTTTAGCTATCATTGCCTCAATCGATTACACATTTACTACAGTACCGAATTTTGAATAAACTTAAGTTGCTATTTCAGTATTTAAATTTAACAATTTATTACTGTGTCGGTATCAAATTTAGAATCAGTCTAAGTTGCCATATCAACTTGGGTTACATTTAAAAATTCTGTTTCAACTTGAGTAGATTTTAAATCTACAATAATTTCATTCTTAAATACAACATATATACCGCAGGGATTTACAATAACGATGATGGTCCAGAAATAAACGACGACGAACAGAATAGTTATAATAAAAAAAAATAAGTTTCAGATTAGAGATTAATCGGTAAAAGAATAAATGAAACACATATATATGACTTTGAATGATTATGTGTATAATTAAATATTTTTAGAAGCGAGTTGGATTTATTATGTCAAGTGAAAGTCTGACGCTTTTATAAATCTAATTTATTTATCCGATTTTTGTAATCTCGAGTTCTATTCCAATAACATCCGAAAATGACAAGCGTTATCATGGTAAGACAGCTTCTTTCCACTAAATAAAGGTTGAGAAGCACTTGGCTATAATGACATATCGTGTGACTAATATGTAATGCAAAATCAATGTGGCAATGAAAGGTTTTTGCATTCTTAAAATACCCGAATATTTTAAGTGAGATACTGAAAAATGAGGGTATCTTAGTCAGTGCACTATGGTAATAATAAATGGAATCGATTTTTTTAGAGAATTCGCTTGTACTGTACGTATGTACAATGTATGGTATTGAATTTGGACAATTAAATTCCTAAGTATTCGACGAAAATTCAATGAATATTCGCTGATAATCATTTCATGAATATTTGATTTCCATTGTTTAGACTGTTTAGACTGTTCAGAACTCTAATCTTTAATACATTCCAATTAAAATATTTTGTATTGTATTGCTTCTAATGATTAATGACCATTGAAAAAGCCAATAGATTATATATTATAAAATGAATTAAAAATGTTTAGATTTAATTCATCGTTAACGATAGATAGCATTTAGTTTGAATTCATCGTTAACGATAAGATAGCATTTAGTTTGAAATGTAATGTAATAGAGAATTTTATGGAAGAATCATTAATCAGATTTCATACGTGATATAATTCATACCAAATTCACATTTAACAAGCAAATATTCAATTAATCAATGTTATATGAAAGTAATAAAACTGCGTCAATGATAAAAAATATGTTTCGGTGTTTACGTTTTTAACGTGGTCCCTAGAAAATGTGTCTGTCGTTCGGAATGAAAAAACATTTGGAACTAGA